CCTTCAGCCAGGGCCCGGGCGAGGCAGGCGGGAGGGCACGGCGGCCCAGCAGGAGCTCACAGCCCCTCCTCTGTCCCAAGGCCTTGCCCGGGGCTGCAGGAACCCAGGAGAGCAGCCCCCAGGAGCGGAGCGCAGAGGACACTTCCGCCTCTGCATCTCACGAGCACAGGCAGCCAATGGGAGCCGTGTTTTATTTGGCCCATTGGTGCTTTTCAGAAATTTGAAGCAACATTTTAAAATCAGGAGAGTTCACGCAAAAGTTCTGATTCTAGGTTCTCTTGACAATAAGAGGATGGCTGCCCCAGGCCCCACTCCCACCAGGTCACGGTCCGAGGGTCAGGGGATCCGAAGAGGGGCTGCCCTTTGTGAACCAGATCTCCGCTCTGCCCTGTGCCCCATGAGGCCGGGGCCGGGCACCCTGAGCCATGGCACTCATGCCGTTTTCTTCTAACTGAGACATATTCTCTGTGTCCACACTTATGTCAAAAGCAGGGAAATGAAAGCCAGGCCGAGGTGGGTGTAATTCCTTCTCTCACCCTCTTCCTCCATCCTCATTGGTGTTGCCTGCCGGGCGTGGCAGGCCTCTGAGTTTGCAGCCCTGGTCTTCAGATGGTAGGACTTCCAGCAAATGGCACTGTGTGCCTGACAGAGACCACACACCCAGCACTTGACCAGGGGATCTTTCACACCCTGTGGGGACCTTCCCAGAATGCAAAGTTCAGCTCCCCCCCTTAGCGCTAACAGCAAGGCTGGCTTCTCCGTGCACAGGGTCTGGGGTCAGCTCAGCCACGGCAGGGCCCAGCCTCTCCAGGCCCCACAGTCTGGTTGAGACTGGACTAGAGTCCAGCAGAGGCAGAAGAAGGGCAAGGGGCCTGCTGGGCTGTGCAGAGCACTGTCCCCTGAGAAGGAATGAGGGAAGCCTGCAGTGTGGTTCCTCAGGGACGTGCCCCCATTCACTGCACAGCCAGCCTTGTACAGGAGGGCTGATTCACTTCCTGCATAGGCTGAAGGATGGCCCCTAAAGATACCAGGTCCTAACCCCCGGGGCCCGTGAATGTTACCTTATATGGCAAAAAAGGACTTTGCAGACATGATTAGATTACAGATCTAGAGACGGATCTTGAGATAATCCTGGATTACCAGGGCAGGCCCTAAATGTGATCGCATGCATCCTTACACATAAGAGGGAGGAGGGGAGATTAGACTACACAGAAGAGCAGGAGGCAATGTGACCACAGAGGCAGAGACTGGAGTGACACACGAAGGAATGCCAGTAGCCACCAGAAGTGGGAGAGGCAAGGAATGCATCCCCCCCCCCCAGAGCCCCCGGAAGAACCACAGCCCTGCCAACACCTTGATTTCAGCACGGTGATGCTGATTTCAGACTTCTGCCCTCCAGAACTGGGAGAGAATAAACTGTTGTCGTTTTAAGCCACCCAGTTGGTGGTAATGCGTCGCAGCAGCCTGAGACTTGGAGGGGAGTGACGAACCAGGATCACCCAGGGCGGGCTCCGAGCAGGGCTTCCGGCAGGACTAGGGCTCCTCATACCGCACCCACGGGCCCTGGCTCCTCCTCAACAATCGCAGACAGCGTTGACCAATGGCAGCCAGGGCAGGGCTCAGGCACAGGCCCAGAACTCAGAGTGAGGCCCTGTCCACGTATGTGTACAAGTGCAAACACACATGCATGCACACGTGCAAACACAGACGTGCACACAAGCATGTGCAAACACCAGAGAGGCCAATGTCACACAGCAATCCCCCCAACATATTGCCCCTGAGCACAGGGTTGGCTCTGGGGATGAGAGAGAACGGAACGTGGGGTGCCAGAGAAAGGCCCGCCCAGAAGTGGCTTGGAGACACCTCACCCGCCTCTCCTCAAAAGGCCACCCTGGTGCCCTGGCCTCGGAGCTCTGCCCTCCGCCCCAGCCAGGCTCCCAGGCCCAGCAGCGCTCAGCAGAGACACTTCTGTGACACCTGCAAGGTCGGAGAAGAGAGAAAAGGTCCTCCCTTGTCTCCCCCAACCCCTTGCCCACCCTAATACCCTCCTCCAGGGCCCGAGGGTGACTGTGCTGTGCACTAAGCTGCCCTGTGTACATACCCTGGCCTGAGTCCTAGAAGACATGCTAAAACCTGCATTTTCCAACCATTTCACCAGGCAGCCTGCAATCCAGCAACTGACCTCAGATGATGGAGACTATTAGTGACAACAATGCTCTGAGGCTCCATGAGCCCCCGAGATCACCCCAAGAAGCCTGTTGGCTGCTCAGGGAAAACAGGGCAACATATCTTAATGCCCCAGAGGAGCTGTGTGGGACACACACCTCTCACTCCAACAGGCTCCCCACCCCACACCCAGACAGATGCAATCTCCCAGACCAGGAGCCCCAGGACAGGTGCCTCCCCTTCCTCAGAGGGCCTATCATAGCCATTGCCCATCAATAAATGGCCAACGTGTTTCAAACCCACGTCCAGACGCTGCCTTGGAGGGGCGGGAGGGAGCTCCAGTCAGAACCTCCTGCCTGCCTCTGCCAGGGCTACATCGACACACCAGAGTTCCCTTCAGAGCTCACCAGAAGAAAAGGTCCCCTGGCTTACACGCACACACACACATGCTCACACACATGCTCACACACATGCACACACTCACGTGTACACACTGAAAGCCTTTGCTCGGAGGTCGTAGTGTGCTGTGCCCGGCAGGCTGTATCCTTGCAGGAAAGAGCACAGAGCACACGTGCAGCCAAGGTCACCGCTTGTCCCTGTCTCTCAGCCACCACTGAGGCCCTGATGAGGCCCAAGCTGATGGAGAGCCAACCATCTGAGGTCACCGTGGGCCCTCAGCCCCGCCCCGGCTTAAAACGTGTCTGGACCCCCTCCAGCCAGTGAGTGGGCTTCAGCCCCTGCCGAGTGGGAACAATCAGGCACATCCAGGGAGAAATGTGCTCTCTGTGGACCAGTCACCCACACAGGGTCATGCTGACACTGGGCAGGAAGGTCAAGGCAAGGCCACTGGGCCTGTGGCTGGACCTACTGCCCACAACCCACAGCCTAGACCCTATACACCCACAGCCCTGTGGCTCTCTGCACCCACAGCCGGAGCCGAGGCTGAGTGCCCAGCCTGGGATAGGCTCCCCTCCCTCATTTCCAGGGTGGCCTTAGCCCCTGACCCGCCCAGGTGACCTTACTCAGAATCTTCTATGGCCAGTGGTTTTTGGCTTATTCTGAGTTTGGAATTCCTTTCCTGCATTCTGAGTTCCATGCTCTCACCAGAGACAGGTGAATGGGGGTGGGGGGTAGATTCAAGAGAAGATGCCAAAAGACCAACAAAAGCCCAGATAATAAGGCGAGGCCACCAGCGACGGAGGAGGGCTGCCATGTTCGGGAGACAGTCACCATGTGGAGTCTGGGATTGGAGACACAGCCCAGGGCACCGGGCAGTCCCTCTGCGCAGGCTCCACCTCACCCCACCTGAGCGGGCCCCCAGGCTCCCCTGACTCTTCCAGTAGAAGCCAGCCCAGAAGCACCAGCCCGAATCCCAAAGTGGCTGGCCCTCAGCTCTCTGAGCCACAGGCATTTCCAACCCCACTGGACAGACGAGAAGGCAGAGGCCAGAGGCCCAAACTTGCCCAAGGGCAGCCAGCCAGCGAGGAGTAAGGCCAGGGCCCTGATCCCTGGTCTGGGGCATTTCCCTTGCCCACTTTCACTCCTGCCCTCACCCCACAGGGTTACTCTCCATTCCTCCCCCTGCAGAGAGGCCCAGGTGTGGGAAAGAGGTGGGAGGGGCTGAGGCTGCTGGCAGCCCAGGCAGACAGCGATTCATCACCTGGGAAGAAGGGGCCGCCGGAAGTATTGGTCAGCTCCGGAGAACGCGGGCTTCCCGATGGAACAATTCCTTTGCAAAGGTATCTGACACCTCCTTGAAATTAGAATCATGCCCTGACAGGCTGCACCCAATTTATCTGTCAGGCTGGGAAGTCAGAGACCTAAAATAATCAACTAAGGCTGCTTGGGGTGATGGGAGTGTCAGCAAATCACGGCCCGGCTGGCCCGTCCCAGGGGGCCTCCAGGGCCCACCGCAAACATGCAGGTGAGCCTGACCCAAGACCCAGGCCTCCATTCCCTGCCTGCTGCCCCCTGCCACAGCCGTCCGCAGCGGGGGGTCTGGGTTGGGAGGGTGAGGGCTAAGCCTGCCCTGTAAGAGCCAGGCAAAGGCGAGGCAGCCTCATCCACACCCTGTGGCCCTGGGGACTGTGAGACCCGCTAGGACCACAGTCAGACCTCAACCTGGCCTCGCTGCAACCTGGGACCCAAGGTCCCAAGAAGGCTGGGGAGGTTTGGGCTGGGGTAGGCCCGGCCTCCTGGAGGCCCTGAGAGTCTGCAGCCGGGATTGTCATCATGCCCACCCAGCAGCTCCTTCCACGCTCCTGGGCCCAGAGCACACTCTGACTCTAAGCTGGAAAAGACAAAACCACGCGAGTCTGTGTGCAGGCACCAAGGCTGCCGGGAGCACCTCTGGGGTCTCACTTCCCTCCATTCCTGGTGGGGCCTTTCTCTGTGAGCAGCCAAGGAGGGGTGGTCACCATTGCAGGGAAAGTGGGCAGCACAGAGGCAGAGAGAGGCTGCCTGGGGGCAGCACACATCTTCTTCAGGGGCACAGGCTCAGAGACATGGGTGTAGGACTCAGGCCAGGGTGCAGGCCTGGTCTGGGCCCCCCTGCTCCCTCACACTTGCTGGCCTTTGTGCAGCAGAAAGTGGACCCTCAGGCAGACTTCACTGCCCACTATGGAGGCCCTGGACCTGCAGGCTTGTGGCCCATGTGCACCAGAGCAGAAGCCCCCAGCCCAGCACCCCTGTACCCCCACCATGTCGTGCAGTCAGCAAGGGCAGGGTGCAGCCTCAGCCTGGGACCAGGCCTGCAGAAGGGGTGCTTGGTCCCTCAGGGGACAGCCAAGGCTCACCACACAGCCTGCTCACCTGCATGTGGCCCACAACCTTACCTGTGTCCAGGGCCTGTGGTCCCCCCAAAGGAGGGGACCTGGGGGTGGGTGGCCGGCGATACACCACATGCACGCGGCCCTGCTCAGCCTCCTGCACCGCCAGCCCCTTCTCCAGGGGCTCAATGAAGAACTCCTCCTCCTCCATACGGATCAGGCCAGCCTGCAGGGCAAACAGAAAATGGTTCAAACTCCCAGCGCACAGCAGACCAAGGAGAGGGAGCAGCGAGGAGTGCCCCAGAGGGCAGAACTTCCCACCTGGCTAAGCAGGGCCCTGCCAACCCTGCCCAGAACCCCACTTAAGTGCTAGGTTTGAACTCCAGGCCAGGGAGGGCATGGACAGCCAGCCCTAGAGGCCCCATCTGCCCAGAGCCTCCACTTCCAGTCGCTGAGGCCAGAGCCACTGGACAGGGGTGAGCCCTGTCTGGGGAAGGGGTTCTGCCTGGGTCATGCCCACGCCAACCCCCAACTCTCTCCACCTGAGTTTGTGAGGCCAAACTGTCAAGAACAGCCTGAGGGGATTCAAGTACAGTGATGGGCCTGCACGAGGCCCCAGGAGGACACCAAGATGCACCAAATGTGGACCAGTGCCACCCACTCCTGGAGCCAAAGTCTAAAACAAAGGTCAAAACTGTCAGCCAGGGGCTGAACCTGCCTACAAACATGTTCAGTTGGACCCACACAGTATTTGTAAAGTTCTCAACTCAATACTCAAAAAGGTGAGGTTTCGGGTTTCAAACACGGAATTCCAGCTTTCCTTGGAAAACGTAGGCTTTGACCACAGTGCAGTGGACGCCATGGATGGAGTGTGTGCCTCTGCGGCTGGCCACAGTCCCCACAGCCCCCACTGTCTACCCCTTCCTTCACGTCGGTCACAGGCCCAGACTCTACAGCCACTGACCTGCTGCCCCCCGCAGGCCAGCCACAGCCCTCCCTTCCTGCAAATCCCTTGAAGGACTCCGACCTCCGTCGGGGCTCAGGCTGCCCTGTACTCTGGCATTCAAGGCTCTCAGCCTGCCACTGCCCTCCCTGCCCCCAGTTCACACACCTCACACCAGCCGCTGGGACAGCTCCATCCTTCCAACACAGTGTGCACCGCCTGGCCTCCTGGCTCCTGAACCCACCACACCCTCAGCTTAGGAGGCCCTGCTCCTGCCCTCACCTCGGCCATCTGGTAAATTCTCCCTTCAGTGCCTGGCTCAGACAACTCTCCTAACCGCCACCTCTCCCCCTGCAGGCACATGACCCTGCCCTCCCCTTGGCCATCCTGCTGTCAATGCCCTTCCCAGCTCCCACACTTTTGATTTTTTGGTCCATTACCCATAAACTGGGGGCCCCCACTGTGTCCAACCTGCAGATATATTTCCTTTAGATCCTATACTTACGATCCGCTCAGGGTTTGTTTGTTTGTTTTTTAAACCAATTAATTGAGGTATGATTGACATGTAAAAAGCTGTACGTATTTAATGTGTACAACTAGATAAGTTTGGGGCAAGTAAACACTCATGAGACCATCACCACCATCAAGGCCATAGACATATCCATCACCTCCCAACGTTTCCTCCCACCTCCTTTATTATCATTTTTTTGGTGGTAAGAACACTTCACATAATATCAACCTTCTTAGCAAATTTTAAGTATACAGTAGAGTATAGTTAGCTATAGGCACTATGCTGTACAGTACATCCAGAACTTATTCATCCTGCATAACTGAAATTTTGTCCCTTTTGACCATCACCTCCCAGTTCCCCCTCTCCCCCAGCCTCTGGGCAACCACCATTCTACTCTCTGCTTCTATGAGTTTGACTATTTTAGATTCCTCATATGAGTGAGATCATACAGTATTTGTCTTGCCATGTCTGGCTTATTTCACTTAGCATAATGTCCTCCAGTTTCATCCATGTTGTCACAAATGGCAAGATTTCCATCTTTATAATGTCTAAATAATATTCCATTCTACATGTGGACTGTGTTTCTTTATCAATTTGTCATCCATAGATGGACATTTAGGTTGCTACCACGTCCACTGTGAAAAATGCTTCAACGAACATAGAGGTGCACATATCTCTTCAAGATAGTAATTTCATTCCCTTAAATATATATCCAGAAGTAGAATTGCTGGATCATATGGTATTTCTATTTTTAATTTTTTGAGGAACCTCCATACTGTTTTCCATAATGGCTGCACCAATTTACATTCCCACTGACAGTGCACAAAGGTTCCCTTTTCTCCACATCCTTGTCAACACTTCTTATCTCTTTTTGATGATAGCCATTCTAACAGGTGTGAGGTGATATTTCACTGTGGTTTTGCTTTGCATTTCCCTGATGATTAGTGATGTTGAGCATCTTTTCATGTACCTTTGGTGTCTTTGGAAAAATATTCAGGTCCTTTGCCCATTTATTTATTTATTTATTTATTTATTTATTTATTTATTTTTGGTGAGGAAGATTAGCCCTGAGCTAATTCCTCTTTTTTTGCTGAGGAAGATTGGCCCTGGGCTAACACCTGTGCCCATCTTCCTCTACTTTATATGGGACGCTGCCACAGCATGGCCTGATAAGCGGTGCATATGTCCACACCCAGGATCTGAACTCACAAACCCCAGGCCGCTGAAGTGGAGTGCACGAACCCAACCACTCCGCCACTGGGCCAGCCCCCCTTTGCCCATTTTTTAATTAGATTGGTTTGTTTTTGTTTTTTTGCTATTGAGTTGTACAAGCTCCTTATATATTTTGGATATTAACCCCTTACCTGATATATGGTTTTCAAACATTTTCTCCTAATCCATAGGTTGCGTTTTCATTTTGATTGTTTCTTTTGCTGTGCAGAAGCTTTTTAGTTTGATGTAGTCCCACTTGTTGATTTTCCCTTTTGTTGCTTGTGCTTTTGATGCCATATCCAAAAAATCATTGCCAAGACCGATGTCAAGGAGCTTTCCATGTTTTCATCTAGGACTTTTACAGTTTCAGATCTTATGTTTAAGTCTAATCCATTTCAAGTTAATTTTTGTGAGTGGTGTAGGATGGGTCCAAATTTATTCTTTTGCATGGGAATATCCAGTTTTCCCAACACCACTTAATGAAGAGACTCTCCTTTCCTTGTTTAGTATTCCTGGCTCCCTTGTCAAGTATAAGTTGACCAAATACATGCATGGGTTTATTTCTGGGCTCTCAATTCTGTCTCACTGGTCTATCTGCTTTTATGTCAGTACCACACTGTTTTGATTACTATAGCTTTGTAATATAGTTTGAAATTGGGGAATGTGATGCCTCCAGCTTTATTCTTTCTTAAGATTGCTGTGGCTATTCCGGCTCTTTTATGGCTCCATAAGAATTTTTGGATTGTTTTTTCTATTGGAATTTGGAATTTTGATAGGGATTGCATTGAATCTATAGATAGCTTTGTGTAGTACGGACATTTTAACAATATTAACTCTTCTGATCCATGAACATAGTATATCTTTCCATTTATTTGTATCTTCTTCAATTTCTTTCATCACTGTCTTATAGTTTTCAATGTATAGATCTTTCACTTCCTTGGATAAACTTATTCCTAAGTATTTTAGTATTTTAGATGCTATTATAAATGAGATTGTTTTCTTTATTTTGTTTTCAGATAGTTCATTGTTAGCATATAGAAACATAACTGATTTTTGTATGTTGATTTTGTATCCTGAAACTACTGAATTTGTTGCTAGTTCTAACAATTTTTTGATGGAGTCTTTCAGACTTTCTATATACAATACCATGTCATCAGGAAACAGACAATTTTTTCTCTTCCTTTCCAATTCTGCTGCCATTTATTTATTTATTTATTTATTTATTGCTTGGCTAGAACTCCCAGCATCTTGGTTTTATTCCTGATCGTAGAAGGCTTTCAACCTTTGACCATTGAGTATGATGTTAACTGTGGGTTTGTCATGTGTGGCCGTTATTATGTTGAGGTATATTCCTTCTATATCCAATTTGTTGAGAGTTTTTGTCATGAAAAGATGTCGAATTTTGTAAAAGGCTTTTTCTGCATCTATTGAGATGATCATATGATTTTTATCTTTCATTTTATTAATGTGATGTATCACATTTATTGATTTGCACATGTTGAACCATCCTTGCATCCCGGGTATAAATCCCACTTGATCGTGGTGTATGAGCCTTTTAATGTATTGTTGAATTAGATTTGCTAATATTTTGCTGAGAATTTTTGCATCTATACTCATCAAGGATATTGGTCTGTAGTTTTCTTGTAGTGTCCTTATCTGGCTTTGGTATCATGGAATGCTGGCCTTGTAAAATGAGTTTCAGAGTGTTCCTGTCTCTTCAATTTTTTGGAAGAGTTTGAAAGGATTCGCATTAATTTTTCTTTGAATGTTTGGTAGAATTCACCTGTGAAGCCACCTGATCCTTGGCTTTTCTTTATTGGGAGATTTTTGATTACTAATTCAATCTTCTACTTATTACTGGTCTGTTCAGACTTTCTATGTCTTCATGATCCAGTCTTGGTAGGTTGTATGTTTCTAGGAATTTATCCATTTCTTCTAGGTTGCCCAATTTGTTAGCTTATAATTGTTCATAGTAGTCTCTCATGATCCTTTGTATTTCTGTGGTATCAGTTGTAATGTCTCCTCTTTCATTTATAATTTTATTTATTTGAGTCTTCTTTCTTTTTTTTCTTAGTCTAGCAAAAGTTTTGTCAATTTTCTTTAGCTTTCAAAACATCAGCTCTTAGTTGTATTGATCTTTTCTATTGTTTTCTGGTCTCCATTTCATTTATTTCTACTCTAATCTTTGTTATCTCCTTCCTTCTGCTAACTTTGGGCTTAGTTTGTATTTCTTTTTCTAGTTCCTTGAGGTGTAAAGTTAGGTTGTTTATTTGAGATCTTTTTTTTTTTAATTGTAGGCATTTATTGCCAAAACTTCCCTCTTAGAACTGCTTTTGCTGCATCCCATAAGTTTTGGTGTGTTGTGTTTCCATTTTTGTTTGTGTCAAGATATTTTTTGATTTCCCTTTTGATTCCTTCTTTGACCCATTGGATGTTTAGGAATATGTTAATTTCCACATATTTGCAAATTCTCCAGTTTTTCTCCTGTTATTGATTTCTAGTTTCATATCATTCTAGTCAGAAAAGATACTTGGTAGGATTTCCATCTTTTACATTTGCT